TACATACATACATGTGTGTGTGTCTGTATGTATGTATATATGTGTGTGTGTGTGTGTGTGTGTGTATAAACTACAGGGAGTCCCTGGGTTAAGAACACCTGGGTTACAGATGACCTAGTCATTAAGAACAGAGTCTGTTGTAGCAGAATTTGAGTTAAATACACACTGATTCGAGTTACATGCACAATGGTTCGTGTTCATTACACAATACTACTTATACCGTATTATACAATAATACTGTTCCAGCTTACATACAAATTTGACTCAAGGACAGACCTTGGGAACGGAACTCATTCTTAAACTGGGGACTACCTGTACTATAAGAACATAAGCTAAGAAAGCATAATCTAACTGAAGTTAATATCTAACAATTTTAACAGGAGAATATTACTGCTACCAAATGATAGCTGCTTCATATATATTATCATCTTACAAATTCCATAGCTATCTTATAAATTATGGGATATGACTAATAATAAGATGTATCATAAATCACACTGCTGGCCTTTGGAAGGGATTATTTTAATTCAGTGTATCCAATTACTTTTTTTCCTGATGCTATAGGCACAAAATCTATTAGAAGTAGCTTAATCAACAGAGAAATCAGAACTGTTTATGATGTTGCTGTTTGAGGCAGAATTTAAATAATTAGTAATCATAACATTAATGATAGTGATGATACAATGGTTGTTTATGGAATATGTTTAAGGAATTTGAAATGACAGCTATAACTGTCTTTTCTAAAAGAAAAACAACAGAGATTTTACTATGATCACTGGAATAATTAGCCATTTATTTATTTACATAGACTTAAAAATGTCTGATTTCCAGTGACCCTGGACACTTTGTACCTTAAAAAAGTTAGAATAATAAAATGAATGAACAAAAAGATGTGCATCCAGAAAAAGAAAAACTGTACAAAACAAAACCAATCTTACAGAGTCTTACCACCTTTCTATCCCACGGCCTGGGAAAATAATCAGGTTTTCAATGCCTTCTAGAACTTTATCAGTGGTATCATTATAATCAAGACAGTCATTCATTCATTCATTCATTCATTCATTCATTCATTCATTCATTCAGTTTCTAAGGCTGTCCATTCATCTGTGACTCTGGATCGCTTACAGAGGATTAAATGATCAAAAGAGATCAGCAATAAAATAGATATGATGAAGTGAAGAAGAAAACAAGATTAAATATCAAATTCAGCAGTTCAAATTCTACCATGTATGCATTGCTAGTATATTGCAGGCCCAGAGCCTGTGGGAAGAGCCAGGGCTTACATTCTGTCCTAAAAGGCAACAAACTTTTAGATGTATGGACCTCTGGATCCACAGGGCAGATGTGGCAACAGAAATGGCCCAATTCAGGGAAATATGGAAGAAGCAAATTCCTTAATGCATCATGCAACATCTACTTATACAGAAGGCAGCCCCATGGAGATCCATATATAGTATCATCCACATATGTTACACTAGGATTAGCGGTGGCCATTTTTTATCCCCATAGTCCACATTACATAGCCACCTCAACTGATGAGCCTCTGAAGACCTATGATTACTCAGAAGGGGCAACTCTATAGAAAGTTTAGGACAAGCTACATCTGATTTAGGTTGTAGGTGAATATTTTAGTTTTAGTAAAATCACAGTTATTTGTAAAGGGATGGCAAGGGGATTATTTAATTCTTCCCCCTTTTGCCATTCTGTCTCCATACAATCCAAATCCCATTCCTTCCCTCTCTTTGGACAAAAAGCTTCAGGCTCTTTTATTTTTGAAACCATGCAAGGAAAAACAAGTAGAGATAAAAAATGTTCATAGTGGAAAGAGGTTCCAAGGGCAATTTAAAATGCTGGTTTGAAGCTATAGAGCCCTTTATGGCTTGGCCTTGGGTTACCTGCAGGGCCCCGTTGCTCCTCTTGAGTTGGCACATCCAAGTTGATCTTACTGGAAGAAGCAGTTTTTCCATTATGGGGCTAGCCCTCTGGAGTGGCCTCCCATAGGAGGTTTGATTGGCTCCAATGTTCTGTACCTTCCAGAAACAGCTGAACACAGCTATTGTTTTGAGCTCTGGAGGCACTATATTTTTATTTTTCATGATTATGTTATAGTCTTTTTTTGTGAGCCACCGAGAATCCATTTATGATTACAGCAGGATATCAATTTGATTAATAAATAAATAGTGAGTGGTAGGAAAAGATTTAAGCATTTTGTCTTCTCTCGACTTCCTTCTTGTGATTCCAGCACCCAGCAACAGTTTTATTTACAAAGAAAAAAAAACCTAGCCAAAATTCATTTCAGTTCAATATAAGCAGCCTGACTTTGTGCATAGTGGCAATAATGGAGTATTATTACAGGATAAAAACTGTTGCGCAAGGACTGAGTACAGGAGAATAGAAAGCCATGGCATACTCAACTAATTTCCCCACAAGCCTTTTTTTTATCTCAGCCTCTCCCACCTCCCAAGTTGTTTTGCTCGGTAGAGATCTACAGATAAATAGTTTAACTCAGATTTTAGATTACAGGAATTCATTCTAGAAGAAAGGCTACAGTTAGCAATGTTAAATACTTATGCCAAACGGGCCGCATGAAAAGCACTTTCTGCAGCACATTTATGAAATAAATAAATGGCACACATCTCAATCTTTCACTTACATCGGTATGAGAAAGGTCAGCTTATTTGAACTTGCCCAGCACTGTTAAAGAATAGTGAACCATGTGACTGACAACAAAAGGGAGGAGGCCATGAAGGGCACATATTTC